GTGATACATATAAAAATTCCTTCGTATTCCTTGCGTTGTTGGTTTTTTTTTTATTTTTTTAACTTTCATTCGATAAAATATAAATGCTCGTGGTATGTAAGATTAGAAAAAACAAAAAAAGAAAAAAGATCCAAAAAAATTATTACACACAAAAGCAAAAAAAGAAAAAAAAGAGATTAAATCGACAGTAATTTTTTCTTAAATTTTATTATCAGATATAATTCCTTATACATTTATAATCTTCCATAAACTTTTACAAATGCAATGAGAATTATGGATATATATTGAATTTCATAATATCTCTCAATACTTCATCTACAATGATCATCATTTATATTGTTTGTCTACCCCGTACCTATCTAGTTTTGTTTTCTTTTGTTTTTTTGTTTTTTTTTCTTTTTTATACATTTCATATATTAGAATTGAAAATATAGCGAATGCCTGTCAACGGTTTTAAATGTGTTAACCAAAATGCAAGTGTAATATATATATATAAAAAAAAAAAAAAAAAAAAAAAAAAAAAACTCGTAACAGCAGATTAAAAAGTTTGTAAAATTGCATCTTTTGCTGAAACAAGTGTTTTGTTTGTATTAAACGAATTATTAGATCAATAATAAATGCAATTGTGAACTTAAAAGAGTTCAAAGACATGAAAAATATATATATATATATATATATATATATATATATATATATATTTCATTTATTTAACTAATATAATATTATCCTGGTGTTTCTTTCATTGAAGGTGTCATGTAAAAGTGGTACAAAATGTCGTATAAAGATGTCTTGGAATAAACTACTCCATTATTAAGGAAATAAATCTAGGAGGAAAAAAAATATTTCAAAAAATTTTAAAAAGTTAAAAAAAGAAGAACAAAACAGAAAAAAGTTACGAAAAAAAAAAAAAAAAAAAGAAACAAAATTAAAAAAAGAAAAAAAAATAAAAGAAACAATCGAAATAAAGAAATCGTTTTAAAAATATGTGCGCATAGCGCGAAACGCCTTTTTTTCTTTTTTCTTTTTTAACGATAAACAGTAAAAAAATATATATTATAAACAACAATTGTCTTGAAAATCATTGACCGGCTAATCTACAATGTGTATTTTATATTGATTTGATTTTAACGGAATATATAATTTTGACAAAGAAAGATCTTAAAATAAATATATATGTACATATATATATACATATATATATACATACATACATACATACATACATACATATATATATATAAAACTGTGTGTGAATTCTCAAAGGAAATCAAGCTCTGAATACCCATATTGGACAATAATTTTGTATTTGTCCACTTGACGTTAATGATTATATGATCAATCTGATCAATGAGAAGATGCATTTATTATACAGATGTTAAGTAAAACCATAGTTGGTGAAATACGAACAGTGAGGAATACTAACACCAACCCAATACACTTTTACATATCCCTCGCCACACATTCACTATTACTTGTTCTTCACTAATAAAACTTTTTAGCTTGTGCTTCTTTGTTATCCCTGTAAAGTAAAACAAAAAAAAAATTATTAATATCTTTCTTTTTTTTTCCATTCATTTTTTCTTCATTAATAATCACGCAGTAATTATTATAATGATATTAAGAAATATTTTATATGGATATACCGATATAAACTATATCCTAATAATATTATCATTTGTATAGCCACAAACAAAAGGAACATCATTGTTGTTAAACAATTTGTTGTTGGACAATCTGCCAATTTTGTATTAGTTTGTGCAATATCTCTCATCAATACATTAAGTCTATCTCGCATTTCGGATATTATTGCTTGATAGTCATAGCCCATCGGTTGCACCTGTAAATAATTTTAACACGTATATGTGTCTGTGTGTCTGCATATATATATAAAAATTTATAAATATATAATTAATATATTATATTATATAACAATAATTACTTGAGCCGTTGGATTGCGGGCTTGATTATTTAAAATGTTATCTGTTTTAGAATTAACATCGCCTATAAAAGATCTAATTTCTTGAACTGTACTAATTAAAATATTTTGATTTTTAAGAACAGCGTCGACTTCTTGCCGACGAATAGTATCTATTAACTGAATTGGCTGTCCTTGTCCTCCTATTCCTGTATAAACAATTATATTATCATATCTATTGGAATATATTAGAACAAATAAAACATATAATATTCAATTGAAACTTACCACCCACTTGAACTTGAGAAATCAAACTAATCGTTCTTTCTTGTCTTCCAACAATTTCATCTAACTTTCTGCTAAGTTCTCTTAATGCATTGAACATTTGACTTTGTCCAGAAAATATCTGTCTCAATTCTCTCTGATTATCTGTTTCAAAATATTCTTCAAATTCATCCTTCTCTCTACGTTGATCTGGATGTTCTCTGAAAAAAAGAATACATTTTTTAACGATAATTAAATTTATTTCTCATTAAATCATTAAATTTGTTTATATTTATAAAATGATTATATAATTGGAACAATCAAAAGATATTTCTAGAGTGTGTTAATTTATAAAAATACCTGTGATATTCTTCCTTTTGTTGTTCCAATTTCTTTTGATAATCTTGATATTCTTGACTTAATTTAACCTGATCTTCCACAGAAACTTTGTAACCATCTATAGGTAATTGACCAGGTGGATGTAATGATGTTGTTAAGAAATGTATTACATCATGATCATCAGCCAAACCACCTTGAAATAAATAAAAAAATATATACATATATATTAATGAATATAAACTATTAAAATTTGATTAAAGACAATAGTAATAACATACCTGTAGCTGCTGATACACCAAAATATCCAGACTTTGGTAAAATTACATTTTCCACCCGGAAACAAGTCTCATAATCTTGATCATTATTTGTCATACCGCTATGAAACAATAACTGAACGAAAAATAAAATTATATGTAATTAAATTAAGCATAATTAAAAAAATTATAAATCTAATAAAAACATTGCATTAAAGTTATTTTCATAATTTAATATTAATTATTACTAACCGTTAATACATTCTGGTAATATTCTATTCTTGCACGTGTTGCAAAAGGTTTGTTACGAAAGTCTCTTAAACAACCTGCCAGTAATTGTGTTGTACCATCGCTTTTGTTGGAAAATGTAATTTGATTAAAATAAAAAACAGTATATAATTGTATGTATATATATATATATAATTTTTTTTTTAATTGATTATTGAAAAAAAAAAAAGAAATACAAAACAGTTTAACTTACTTGGCATGATCAAAAATTTTTGTGCCATCATTTTGCACAGCCATAATATATGGATTATTGTGTTTATTGTCATTATCAAAGGAGTCAAAGAAAACTCCAAGGCCATTCCATTGGTCAGAACTACCAAAAACTGTGCCATTGTAGGCACCTTTGGTACTAGTATACCAAAATGCTAAACCATCCGCACCTATTCTACCACGACCAGTGATTCTGAACATCAAGTCAACTTCCCACCAATCAAAATTAACTGGTTGTTTCATCCATATTGCACCTGAACACAATTTAAAATTTATAATAAATTACTTGATTATACAAGAGAATCTAATTCTTAGAACAAATAGAATTAGATAAATACCCTTTTGACTTCTTAATGATGGTGCTACTCTAACGTTTTCGGCACTAGCAATGGCATCTGTAATAATTTATTATATATTTATTATATTCATAAAAATGATATAAAAAAAAAAAACATGCACATATATTATAGCGACAATGTATATAGACATTAATTATTAATATTTTACGTATCGCTTCAAAATGTTATTGATAGTACAGTAAATTTGAAAAATATATTATTTGAAAATTTTCCATATAAATCCATTGTGCTAAAACACATCTCAAATATTAAAATTTATAAGAACGTTTAATCGAATAGCAAAAATTAATGTAATAATATAATTCGTGTAAATAATAAAGAAGCCGACATAGTGTCAATAACATACGGTTCATCTAATGAAATAACTTGGTTAGGTTAATGGTTATACTCACTTCCTCCATATTCCCAGAAAGGTACAGATCTATCCTTTTGTGCGAGATACGGTGGCTTAAAAGAATATTTATACTCAAATTTTCGATGAGGAATATCGGCAGAAACAAGAGTAAATGTTGGAATTGCGAGATATATTAAGAGCCACCTCACCTCGGCGGCCATCTTCATTTTGACTGTTTAATAATGTCCGGACAGAACAACTAAAGTTATATGAATTAAAAAAGAAACGATTGGAACAACATTTAAAAACCGGATCGGAAGAATTGAATATTATTGGTTCGTTACAAGTGACGTGTCAATCGCGTGGCTACATACATATATTACAAATCTAATTCAAACATTATTACTTTGGCACTTTCAATTTTTCATATGATATTTCCTCAAAGAAAATGTCTTTCTATATATTTTATAAATATTATCGTTCGATTAACACTTTTTCATTATTTCGTTTGTTATTTGTGATAAAAATTTTCTAAGCTTATATGTACATATATATATATATGTGTGTGTGTGTGTGTATATATGATTATAAATTATGTACTGTATAAAATTTGAGGACGTGTCACCCGGGAGATGGTAGCATGTTAGATCGAAAGCGAGTTTATGAAATCGTATATCACTTTTTTTTATCTTCTTATCCAACATATAAGTCCAATATGGCAGTCGCTTCTTTCAACCAATCAAATTCATTCTTATAAGAAAACATGATATCTCATTGCTTTTAACTTCAAATTTTTTAATTTATAAATCGTATTGTTTGATAATTAATTGAAATTAATATTTTCCTCTCGTGTCTCATTGTTATTTATATAAAATTTAATAATCAAAAAAATTCGAGGAATATTTTTCATTGGAATTAATTTAACATATTGTTTATATTTATGCATATCCATTGAATTAATAATGATTCTATTTTTATTTTACAAAGTAATCTTGTATTAACAAAATTTATTATTAATTTTCATACGTTAAAGGAAG